ATGAAAAGTACATTTATTTCTGTGATGGCAAAGCTGAATAAATAAATTACAAGGCATTAAATTGATAAAAGTAAAAACATTTATAATGTTTCAAAAATGTATATTTCAAATAAATAATGTTCTTTTGACATTTATATTAATAAAAGAATCATAAAAATGTTTCCAGGAAATATTAAGCAGCAAAAACAGTGTTTTTACGATAATAATAAGAACCATTATTGATAACTGAGTACCAATAAAAATGCAGCACTAAATCAGCATGTTAGAATGATTTCTGAAAGATTATGCACTGAAGACTAGAGTAATGATGCTGAAAATTCACAGGAATAAACTACATTTTAAAATATATTCAAATAGAAAATAGTTATTTCACATTGTAATAATATTTCACAATATTACTTTTTTAACTTTATTTTTGATCAAATAAATGCATGCAGCCTTAAGGGTTAGCACTTAAACATTAACATTGCTAGCTCATCACACTAGTTATCACGCAGCAATCTTAAACAATTAAAATTAATAGAAGCAGTTAAAATTACTAAAGTTTAAATTAAGTAATTAAGTTAAAATCCGTTAATTACGTATAATTACAGACCTCTGGACCGTTTTCTTCATGTTAGCAAGTCCTCTGATAACACAGGCCTAAGTGTTCGCCAACATTACAGTCCAACACAGATCTAAGGAGCAATAAAAACACCAAACCTTTAAGTTATCGAGTACACAACATAATAAGAAATTAATTTATTAGTAGAACAGTTTGATCACACGGTGTGACATACCTTGGTGAGGTTTTTGAGGATAACAGCGAGCAGTCTGTATCCGCCTAGGAATTCCGGATTATTAATTTAGAATTTTTGAACGTGAAAACAGCTGAGATGTATGGATACCAAGCGCGTAGGGAACTGAAGAAAACGTGTTACAGCACTGAAACGGATGTGACTGTAACGCGGATTAGCCGGTTTTAAACCGGATCCGGCGTGGAGTCAGCTGCTGTCTGGGATGAGTCTTGAATGGCTTCAGAAAGTGTTTGGTTACAAGATTGATCATTTTGAGATGATTCTCTTGGTCTATGAGAGAGAAGATGAGTCTGATACCATAATAGATGATCTGTAGAAAAACCATCTCGTCATAACATCTTATTTTATAAGTATTTGGTCCATGTTGCATTCATATTTCATTCGACCCACACTAGAGTTCGTTTGGAAGTGGACTGAGACCCATCTTTTTAGCGGTCTCGGCCCGCTTGTTTGGTGCGCACCAGGGTTCGTATGGCAGCGTTCACACTTACTCAAATGAACCGCACTAACACTGCAATCGCACTAGAGTTCATTATAATAGAACCAAACATGACAAGTGTGAACACATGCTTTCATTTGTATTTATTCGATTCATTGGTATTTATCAAATTTATTTTGCTGCAAACCAGCTATGTCCATGTGTGCTTCTTTGGATAGCCCACCTCTGGATAATATATGCATACATACATTGGGTGACTTATCCCTTAATGTTTTTTTTTATTAATGTAAAATAATAATAATAATAAGAAGAAAAATAATTATTATTATTATTAATGAAATGGTACTATAAATTAGAAACAAAAACTGCCAGTAGATGAATGTTTTACTGAGCAAGTCACTCATTCATTCAATTTCTTCAAGCGGATGATTCATTCAGAATGATGTAAATGGTTCTCTTTATGAATGGACCATTGAATCATGATGCACAGTTCTGCTATGGCTTTATAGGTAATATTGTCATTGGACAAATAAGTTAATATTGTGTTATATTTTAGACACAATATTGTCTATTATTTACTAGGGCTGGGTATTGACAAATTTCATGCTGGCATACTGGATACATGGATACTAGAGGTGTAACGATACATGTATTCGTACTGAACCATCACAGTACAGACATCTTGGTTCGGTGCATGAGACCTTACAACAAATACAGGCAATTCACCCTCAATCCAGAAGGGGGCGCCCGCAGCAATGCAACGCTGTTTGATAACTGCCAGCAGAAGAACAGCGAATGCCATAAGTTGCACACTTGAAAACAAAGCCCACTAGACAGTGACCATGTGCTGATTCTGAATGCGTCTCTCATAGACTGACAAAGGAGTATATTTAAAGGCTTGCGCACTCAACTGTTTGCGAAATGGAGCTTTGTGCTTGTGTATCCTACCATTCTCATTCGGCACAAATCCAAATATTCCATAATATTTCCATATTTGCGATGTATCTGAATGCTAAACTATTATTCATTATGTAAATTATAGGCTTTGTACTTCAGTCGCGTTTCAACGGTGACACAGAGGCAGGCGTGCTGATGTTTGGTTCACTGTATTTTATTTTGATAAAGTACCAACTGCGCTGTCAAGTTAGCAATGCTGGAACTGATGTGTTTTGTGTGTGTGTGTGCGCCGGCGCGCTCACTTCAACTGTTTCCTTATACCAGCAGAATCAACTTAAAACACTTATTGTCTTATTAAAACTGCACCACTGTAAAAGGTCTACTTTTATTTGTGTACACTCACAATGAAAACAAAACATTGTGCTTTTGTAAAATAAAGAAAACAAATAGGATGTCGCTTTCTGCCATTTGAGTTTCCTTTCTTGAACAAATTAAGCATGTCACAAAAATGAACTGAAACTCTGCGTATAAAGGCTACGTTACGTGTCGTAATACTGTCTATTCAAAATAAATGAAAAGAAACCTAGCATAGTAGATTTGTTTTTTTTCCAGTTTGTTGTACCGAAATCGTATCAAACCATGACCCCCGAACCGTGACATCTGTGTACCGTTACACCCCTAATGGATACTTGTTTACTGTTTCTTTTTTAAGATGATGCACTGACAATAGTGGAGGAACCAGGAACATCAGAGACTGGAGAAATACACAAAGTGAGTGCCTGGTTATTTTAAGAACTACCTGCATTAACATTAAAAAACAAAACAAACAAAAAAAACTATATTCTAATGCAGGGGTGGGCAAACTTTTTGACTTCAAGGGCCACATCAAGTTTCCCACACGAAGTGAGGGGCCGCATAATATGTGCATGACAAATTAAGCTTTTTTTTTTTATTATTATTAAATTGACGACAACTGTACTGTATGTATACTTGTACATACATGGCAGTTCTATTCTTGTACCATCTCTACCTATTTTTTATGAGCACTTTATGACACACAGATCAGTTGCATTGGTGTACAAGTCGATTGATATGTAAGACATTTTATAATTTCATTCAGAAATAATGTAAAATAAACGAAATGTTTACAAACATTAGAAACATGTATATTCCCCACACTCCACAAAAAAATCCTGTAAATTTAGCAATGTTCAGAATAGAAAAAAAAGAACGAAAATATAAGAAAAAAACAAGCACAAATTATAGTGGCATTCACTATAAACATATATTATAAACGCCCAGCCTAAATATTTAAAGCGAAAGTGAAACTAGCGGCGTGGTTGCTGGAAAATACACAATACAAACTCGAAACAAACTCACTTGCCTTTTCTCATTTGTCACCCATCCCAATGTGCGTGCTTTGCGCTTGACCTTGATTGCTTTATAGCCTGTTTCAGATGAAACCTTTTTTTTTTTTAGATGAAAAAAAAAATTATAATCCAGAAAAAAAAAAGTACTATATCCATTTTCATAAAAATGTGTGTGGAAAACAGAAGAAGAAAGCATATCTTTGCAAGATAAAACGACAAATTATTTCCATGTTTTCCCCACGAAATTACAGAAAAAAGCACACTGTCTTTCTCCCGTTCTCTCTCACGCACATTTTTCTTTCTTTCTCCCGCTCTCTTCTACAAACGCATACAGTACAGACACACAGTCAGAAGCATAGACATAATAAATATGCATATGGCTGCATCTTCGCGAGCACACGTGGAACAAACACACGCACAAAAACTTGTCAGCACTGACCGGCACCTTGATCAGTAAAATAGTTTTGCAACTGAAAAGCTACATGACATTTCTCAGTAGCTATGTAGTAATGTCGCAGTTTTTGAAGAATTTAAACTTGCAGATTCACTGTTGGTAGAGATGCTGCTGAAAATGTTGAGAGACGAACATGCAGTACTCTAATTCACACACAATTTTTATCTTTTCTTTCATATTTGGGAGTGTTTGACTGACCCTTCTCGCGCAAGACATACAATGCCCATATGTGCATTCAAAGCAAAGCAATAAAGCATAATTTTAAAGGAACCGTCAACTCATTATAAAATGCGGCATCACCGGGGGCCCGCTTCAGCTGATATTTTGCTGATATTGCATCAAATTAATCATTTTGGACCAACAGCCTCATGGGCCGGATGAAAGTGCCTGGCGGGCCGTAGTTTACCCACCTCTGCTATATGGCATTTAACTGGAACAGAGCACTACCCATTAGGCCACTATTCTTTGTTTTGAAAGAAGTCTCTAATGCTAAGGCTATATTTATTTGACCAAATGTAGTAAAAATTGAAATATTACAAGAATGTTAAATAACTGTTTTACATTGTAATGTATTTTAAAGTGTAATTTATTCCTGTAATGGCAAAGTTGAATTTTCAGCAGCCATGACTCCAGTGTCACATGATTCATCAGAAATCATTATAATATGCTAATTTGGTGCCCAAGAAAGTTAGTATGTAACAACTGCTAGGCTCTGACATAAGGTGCGTTTACATGGAGCATTGTATTCTGATTACAATCGGTTTAAAAGTCCAATCTGAATGAAAATGCTCCATGTAAACACTTCAATCAGAATAAAATTGCCCAAACCAATTGAAATTTCAATCAGGTTGAGAGGGGTGGGATAAACCTTTTCTAATCCTTTCGATAGGACATATAAACACTTGATAAAGTTTTTTTTTTTTTTAAACAAAAAAGGAGTATGGTTAGTAGTATAGAAACTCTATACTCGCGCAGTGTGAGCATGTCAAAAGATTAAATCCGATTTGAAGCTTGTGAAATATAAACACGCACATCAACCTGATCACTTTATTTAGCGTTCATGTCAACACTACGTTCGGATTCATCAGTCAGAATGATTTAATTCCGATTGAAACAAAAAGTGTCCATGTGAACGTGGCTACTGAGTCTTAAATTGTACTCTTAACTGAGCGTGTACTTACTATTACCAGTGCTCTCTGACGCCTCTGATGAGCTGGAGATGTTATCAGGGAATTTTTCCTCTGGGGAACTGGGGGAACGGACCACTATTCCATTTCTGTTCAGGACAGGCTCTATAGGTGCTGTGGACTGAGAACTTCTCATCCCACTGCCCTGCACTGATGGCTGCTCCATGACAATCGACTTATTATCCTGTTTAACACAATGGGTTGAATATCAAAAATTCAAGAATCCACCATAATGACAGTATTATCAATAGAAACTGGGCAATGCAAAACTAAAACAATCACGCTACTTTTTGGCCAGCTGATACATGTACTATAAAGTGGTCAGAATACATTTTTTACAGTCAGTTTAGTTTTTCCGTTGTCCACTTATAATTACAAGGTCTAAAATGGTTACAATTTAGTTAGCTGTACTCAGTTTGTTTAAAATTATCTTATTTCAAAACAAATGAAAAGGAAAAAGGTGATTAATCATATGATCCCTTTTAATTGTTATGTAGAGGCTGAATAGACATATTGCAGACTCACATATCTGACATAGTCTTTCCATTGCTGCCACCACTGCATGGAGATCAGGAACCAGTTCTGACC